CGAAGGCGACGGCATCGAAAGGGTCAACCTGGAAACGAGCGACCAGGCCGACTCGACAGACGAAGACGCCGACGTTCATCCTAGGAGAAGGAAAACTCGCAGTCCTCAACCGGAGTCGTCTCCCGAACGTTCCTTTACTGGAGACGAAGGGGAACCCGACTTCGCGCGATACGCAAAAACCGCCGAGGAGCGATCTCCGAACACTCGCAGCATATGCCGACAGAATCGGAAAACTGCTGGCAATCAGACCGAGATTCGCGATCTCCGCGAATACATTACCAAAACGGCTGCAGCGGTAAAAGCGGTGAAATCTCAGATTCACCACGCGACCAGCGCCGCACCCGAGATTGATCGGCTGCTGTATGAATCTCGGAAAACGCCTTTCACGGCTCGCATCACCGAGATCAAACTGCCCGATCCCGGAAAGCTTAAGGTGCCAACTTATGACGGGACGACCAATCCCAAAGCACACCTGCAAGCATTCCAGATCACCATGGGACGAGCCAAGCTCAAGGACCACGAGAAAGACGCAGGTTACTGCCGCCTCTTCGTCGAAAACCTAGAAGGAGACGCGCTCGAATGGTTCGCCAAACTTAGGCGAAATTCGATCGGAAGTTTCCGTCGACTGGCTTCGGAGTTCCTGAAACAGTATCGATGTTCATCAACCCGGAGACCTCCGACGCCGATCTCTGGAGCTTGGTGCAGGAGGAAGACGAATCTCTCCGCGATTTCATGAGTAGATTCAAACTCATCATGGCTAGGGTTAGCGGGATCAGCGACAAAGCCGCCATCGACGCGTTAAGAAAATCGCTCTGGTATAAATCGGAGTTCCGCAGAAGGATAACTCTCGAGAAACCGCGGACGATCCAGGATGCGCTCCATAAGGCCACCGACTTCATAACCATCGAGGAGGAAACTAAAGTCCTGTCCGAGAAGCATAAGCCGACGAAAACATCCGCAAGGGATAACGCGTCCGAGCAGAAGCAGAAAATGAAGAGCTCTCGTAACGACAAATTCGTCCATCACGAGGGACAGGA